TTCAGCGTTTTAACGTGCACGTGACACAATTTCTTCGAGGAAAAGTGAAGAACTATTTTCGCGATTTTTCATTGGAAAACGTTCTCTGACACAGAGAGTTGAATTATTTTCAATTGTAACATTTTTCGGGATAATATATTAATGAGTTTGTTTATCGTTTTTTTTTTTTTGCGCAATTGTGTACCTAGTAATAATGCGTTATTAGATAAAGACCCCATTCAATGTGGGTGGGAAAGAAACATGGCGTCCATTAAGTTTATATACACATCGATGATTAATGTCTCGTATCTTGATAAAAACGTTGTGTCTTTCCCCAAAGACGTCGTAAATGTCTATCTTGCACTTTGAACGGATCTTAGGCTGACAATTAGGCTGCGAATATTTCTGTAAATTCATATTAAAAAAAAAAAAGAAAAAAAGAATGGAGTTTAGGTAGGGAACTGTTTTATCTACTAAATATTATAACAGATACCTACTACACTTTCGATCACTTTTGCACGCCATGTACGTTCCATGGATTTTCGAATTTCATGCAACTGCATAGATATCCATAGTTTAGTTACAAAGTCGCGACGATAATTGAGATTCGGACGAAAGAAAGCGGTTCTCCACGCGCGTTATACATAAAGCCGGAGGTTCGTCGGATGGGAAATTCTGGAACCGCGGAGGATGTTAGTGACATGAATGTGGAATGTTTTAAACGTGGGCAGTGTATTAAGCGGAGATGCACGGCGTATGATGCACCGTTTCGCTTTAAGATCCTTCAGCGACGCTCACGTTCTGCTATGCCTAATATTTCAACGTCCTCGCATTTCTGTCGGAAACGCGCGCGCACACATAGACGAAACGCTAAAGAAACGCGTCCGCTCGTCTCGCGCGCCGCTTTTTAAGTTCCCCACAGTTGTGAATGTAAAAACGTGTCAAGGATGGAGATCATGGTTGCATTCATCTGCGAGTCACATCCTTGAGGCACTTAAATATCGATTGAGGATATAGGAGCGCGTTGTCGTACGCTTCCTGTCGAAGCTGTTCGATTACACACCTAGTTCAATTGTCTCTTCTTCTGCGATAATTCTGTTCCGTTTGGCGGATATAATAGTTGGAAGATGCAAGGATGTTTTAAAAGAATAGTATAGATTTATTTTTTGTAAATTTTAATTTAACGAAAGGTAGTTTAGTTTGTTGGTCACCGACAATAATAAAAAGAAGATATCAATTTTTTTTTTTTTTTTTTTTTTTTAATTGAACCTCCACTGTTTTTTCTTTTCTTTTTTTTTTTT